GTTCTTGTTCTTGTTCTTGTTGTCGTTGTCGTTGTCTTCGTTGTCGTTGTCGTCGTTGTCGCTGTTGTTGTTGTTGTTGATGGTGGTGCTAGCAGTGCTGGTGGGGTTGTGGTGTTGTTTTTGTCGTTCGTTATGGGTGTGATTCTTGTTCTTGATCTTGGTCTTCTTGGGCCATGTTGGTGATTCCCTGGTCATGCTTCACATGCGTTTTCAATCCTTAAGCACTCCTTCTCATACATTAGCTGGGGGCTCAAGTTCCGGTTAGAGTGGGCACACTGATTCAACAGCTGCTTGGGAAGACTCCATGCTTTGAAGTTTTGCTGCTTAAAAGTCTCGACAACAGTAGCAGTTAGGAGGGCCTCGCTGTGCAGCTTTTCACATCCCGTTTGCATAAAGGCCCACTCCTCATCCTGGTTGCGCCAGCTGGTCGGAAGCACGCGATACCTTTAAGCAGTCGTGTAAAGGAATCAGCTTCAGAGACCCTTGAGCTCGAACCCTCACCCTAAACCGCCGATTGAAGGAGTCGGTTTCTGTTCTTACTTTGGCTCAAGCAGCACTTTCGGATATGAGCTTCAGCCCCCTCTCGTGTGCTGTTGCTAGCAAAGAGCATGTGTCGCTCTGTCAACTAGATGATGTCCTGCGATGTGCAGGTGGAGTGGGCCATCAAGCTCCGGCAGGTTCGCGCATACCTCTTGCCAGAGGACTTTCTGACGACATTGGAATTCGCGGTGCTGAGCAGAACGTCCACAAGAGTGGCTTCCCCAAGTTCGGCAGCACGGAGTTGCAGCGTCCACTTCGGGTTCTACATCATCTGCAGCAGGTCGCCGAGAGTTTCGCCATTTCGGCCAGGCCGTGCAAGCTCGAGCGTGGGCACTTTTAAAGATGCCCTCACCAGCCTCAGGTTTACGGTTGCAACCCCATCAAATATCAGAGCCGCCTCATCATAATTATTGGGAACAAGATCGGGCTCGCGCAGGCAGACATCGAGCTGGCCGACATGCATGCGGAACATGCGGCCAAACATAACAGTTCTGTATCAAGAGGAGAGGGCCAAGGCAGTTGCTGCTATCGACGAAGTGTGCGATTTGAAGACATTCATATCCCCACGTACATGTCGGATGAACAAAGTCGACCTCGGCCAAATCTTGAATGGCTTCCAGCGACAGCCTGTGCTAGCAGTTCCTTGATTGGACTTGCGGCCACATCCAGGACAAGTGCATTGCTCGATGAGGCGGGTGCTGAAGTGGATGCAACTCTACGACGGGCGGAGCTCGGTGTGATGTTGCCGGGTCATCTCTGTGACCTAGATTGTATTTGCCGCGAACGTCATCTGCACGATACTTCCCTGGTGTCGGCCTCTGTCAGAAAGGACGAGAGCACAGAATAACAGCAACTTTCGCCGTTCCTCGGCAGCTTGGCCACGGCCGAAGATGTGGCTGGCGTCGGCCAGGTGGCCCATGGGCTTTGCCCCTGCTGCCAGTGAGGCTGACGGGTGTGCCGGCAGCAAGCGCACCGTCATTATATCCGGGTTGCAACCTGTACTGAGTCGCTTATGTTGCCATTTTTGGTGCTGTTTGTGTTTCTTAGTGCTTGAATCTGACTTCTCAAGTTGTGAATACGTAGACGAGTCTTATGGCTCGTCATGCAATTACCTGGAGTTGGGTTGGTACACAATGAAACCAGGATGAGCAAAATCGCGGCTGAGCCCGTTCTGAAGGTGGGAGGAAGCTGTCAGTCGCAGGTGCTGCGATGCCAAATTCAACTGCATGCCTCTCCCTGAAGTGCGAAAAGATTGGTAGCGATCGTCGGGCTGGCATTGTTTTCTACACATTGGGATTATGTTCTCAATGGAACTGATGCTGCTGGACAACCGATGGGGCCGGCCTGAACCTCACAACGCTTTGCGCCTGGTCGTGTTAATTCACAACTGAGACAGCAAGGGTGCCTGACCGTTGATGCAACACTGACGTCAGAGAGGAGCTTGCTTCAACTGTAGTGCCGTAAGTCACCCGGAGATTCATGAGATCGTGATGGCTGTTGCGTGCCACATGTGTTTATCTCTATTGGAAACAACTGTCGCAGCTTAGTTTCACGAACTCGGGAGGATCTTGGGATGCCAGTTGTTCCGTACCTGAGGTTTCCCGCCTATGCGTGGCCCGGCGCATTCTGCTCGTATGTTTTTCCGTTTTACCCCTGACCTTCCATGAGACAGCTGCAATAAAAACGTTGATGATGAAAAACTTATCAGGTTTATGCACCCCTTCCCACACGATTTTCTTTGGAACTGCTACTAATTCCGGCTTAGTAGATTCTTGCAGCTAGTTGGGGCTGTTGCTGAAGACCGGCCCCTGACGTTTCATTTTCACCCGTCCGACCTCAGGACCCGTGACGTGGCTGGGTTGTCCGAGTGTGATCGCCGAAAGCCCGAACCCAAGACCTTAAACCACAACCCAAAAGTTACTGCTTGAAGGAGTCGGTTACACGTCCCCATGCACCGAACCCCTTGAAGGGCATTTTTTGCTGCGACGTGTTTCAGAGGCCAACGTGTACGTGTACGTGTACGCAGATGCTTTAAGCATTCTGCACTTTGGAGCCGTGATGATTCCTGACTTTGGCGCCCGGTAAGAATCTGTTCTCGGCGACTCGGTGAACTCGTTATGTAGGGTGAGTTCGTCTTGCGGATTTTGCGTGGTGTCTCTAATTGCTCGCTCTGTGGGAATCGTGCTTCCAGTGCCACTTGATCTTATCCATGGCATAGTTGCTGGAGACTGGTTTTGCTTTTCGAGAGATCTTCGCATGTGAGCGTTGATCTCAGCCGTGCGAGATGAAAAAAAGAACCCTTGAAACCCTATATAAATCCTGTAAACCTGAAGCTCCCTTTGCCAGAAATCGGTTTTAATTCAAAAGCAGCAAATGCGCAGGTCGCCATCCTCGGCAAAGCCGAGGCCTGCGGTTGGGGACGCATCGGGGTTGGAATGAATATGAAGGTTACAGGCGTTATGAGGGTCCTCGGCTAGTGGGCCCGAGGAGCGCGTGCGGCAGGTGCCGCGCGGAGTTCTCTGGGTGGTGGTCGTGGTGGTCGTGGTCGTCCTGGTCATCGCGGGGTGGTGGTCGAGGTTGTCTTGGTCGTTATGGGGGCGTCGTCGTCATGTCACACCTACCGCGACTTCGGCTTCGTTCCGTCTTTACGGGGATTCTCATACGGCTTCCAGGTTCGACACGCTCCTCCGTGATTCAAATGCTTCTGATGCTTAGGGTTCTGCCACGAGCGCAGCAGCTCTGAGAACCAGGTGGGCATGTACAAGTCTCTGCAAGAAAACGTACTGACAGAGTACGCAGTCTAAACCTCAACAACGGCAAGCTGCGTTCTTGAGCCCGAAGCAATGCAGTTGGGAATCCCGTGCTCGAGTCTCCAACCACCGGCCGTGCTCCCGAGTAGACCCTCAGACGAACGAACAGGTTAATTATATTTCAGTGCTCTTGGCAAACGGACACTAAACTTCGGTAGGCGCCCAGCACCCGAAACTGTATCCAGCTGCCTCAGCCAGGTCGATCCTCAAGCAATCGGTTGCGAGGCCAGGCAAGTCAATTAAATGAAGCCTTCCCTATTCTGGCAATCTATAGTTTAATCCGTATATAGTTAACAAAAAAGTCACGGTAAACAGTTGGACGGTCTGCTGATTGCCACGGGCTTGAACAGTGGTTTGGTCTGAAGGCCGTGGGCTTCCTCAGCTTGTTAGCTTTAGGGTTTAGGGTTTAGGGTTTAGGGTTTAGGGTTCAGGGGTGTAGGGTTTAGGGTTGTGTGGTTCTGCGGTGCATATCTGCACCTACACTTGAAAGCCCGCTTCCTTCAACCAGTTGTACAAGGAGAGGTCGAGATCTTCCGTTTGCATTCACCATGCGCTGCTCCCCAACAATTACGCACATCTCCAAGTACAGGAAACCTCGGGTTGCCAATGTTTGGAGGTAATGCTTGCAGGTGTCATTCACGTTTACCTGGCTTCGCTGCCGCTCCTAGCTATGTAGCTTTGCACATGGACAGCAGGCTCGTTTCCGCATGTTGGCTTGTGGTGCTCATGTTGCTAGTGTCCCTCAGGGTGTGTTGCCCGAGGTCGATTCCAAACCTGCCCGCAAGCATGGCTTCCGGAAGTAGGCGGTTTGCAGGAGCCCCAACCGTCCGACGCGAATGGCAGAAGCTGTTGAGGCAAAGTCCTGACCTGTGGAGGGTATGGTCTTTGAGGCTTAGGATGAGTGGTTGGCTTTCAGACTGTGAGTTGTCCATGACCTGAAGCTGGCATTGCTCGAAGAAAATGGTCCCCATCTTGTCTGTTTCTGTTGATATTTACAACGAAACTTGCACTCCACTTCGTCATGTTGCTCATTCATGTTATTACTTAGATTCGGAACTTGGGTTATGAGTTTCAGTGTCAGGATTTCCGGACACTTTGACTCCTACTTGCCATCTCGCACAATTGCGAATGCTTTGCCACACCTCGAGGGAGCGCTGCCCGGGTTGAGGCATTCTTCTGTTACTGCAGTGTCCTCTCCGAACCACATGCCGCCCCAAAGTACTTGCGCCTCCGAGTGGCATGGCAGGAATCACCGAGCACGCGAGTGCGCCGTTGGATGCTCGGGTTTGGCGTGCCACATGGTGTGCGACACTCGCAGCCGAAAGAGTAGCGAATACATTGAGTGCTGATGTCCCTGGCCTATTTGAGCATGTCGACAACTTACAGCCGTGGTAGAGAGTTGTTCAAGTCGAACTTTGTCTATGTTTTTCGATCGCCGTCTCGATCTCTCTGTCTCTCCATCCTCCCAACTAAGTGAACTGAAGCTGCCTAGCCGATCGATCTACTTGCCTATGCGTATTATACATTCTCATGTTGAGAACATAAACTCCTGCGGTTAGTTTCTTCACGCATGTATGCAAAGTTCTTGCACCATCATGTGCCGTATGCTTAGATGCGTACGTATATGCATGCCCCGTTATTAGTCATGCATTACTATCGCTATGCCGGTGCCACATTCATTTATGCGGTTTGTCACTCTGTCTCGCTCGCTCTCTCTCTCTCTCTCTCTCTCTCTTCTGTGTGTCTCTCTCACTCCCTCCCTCTCGCCCCACACAACGAGCCGCATGCGCTTCGAGCCGAGTTTTCAAGCCCGGTGGATGCATCTTTCTGAGCCAGTTGAGCAAGGATTTGAGGGCAAAGCCGCTGGGGTTGATGGTTACATCGAGAAACAGTCGAGCCAATCTGGAAGCAACTCTCGAGTGCTTTGAATATCCACTGCATTGAAACACCCCAGGCAACACTGTCGGGACCAATCTCATTATGAGAATGTCTCTGCCCGCCAGACCCTGAGATTGCAGTTCTGGCTTGTGGTTGGGTTTTGGCGGTTTACTCCTTTACGCCTCCGAGCTTTATAGGGCTTTAATTAGGTGATAAGAGTTCAGAGGCTCAGGGTGTTTCAGGCTTAATGTCTCAAGGTAAAAAATTCGGAGTTAGCAGGTTCCGGGTGGGTGCATGTGCATGTGCATGTGTGTGTGTGTGCGCGCGCTCGTGCAGCAACTTGTTTGTGACGTCCCGTTGTTGCTCAGCTCGCAGCATCAACCATGAGTAACTCAGGAGGAAGGGTTCCAACAATGCAAGTGGTGGGATGAAGAACTATTGTAGCACTAACCGTGGCGTTATGTTGTAACTCAGTGCTACTGTAGCACCGAGTTACAACATCATGCCACGGTTACGCGATATGTAATTAGCAGCAAACCCACAGTATGCTCATCTTGCATGTGTGCAGGGCCTCCCGCCTGAACTCCTGCCCCCGTTCCATTGGCATCATGTCGGTAGGGGCCCCGAACGTAATCCCTGTGGACAGTGAGGTCCAGGAGGGCGGACTTCCATTTGCGGCCCTGCCCTCAAAATCGGTAGCCAGGAATGGCAATGTGTCACTAGCGACACTTAAAGCAAGGGAAGATGATCTGCCCACTTGGCATCTCAGAAGTGTACATATTTTGTTTGCCTGTGTGTATTTTCCCGGGCACCATGGAGCAGAAGCGACCTCTCGCAAACTCCATTGCAAAAAGCACAGCAGCCCATGGATCCTGCAGGAGACGTGTCAGAATCATCTGCCCGTAGTTGCATGCCATCTACTTGGAAAGCTCAGCCAGCAACCTACCTGCCCTCATGAACAGGACGCCAGAAGCAGCTCGCCGAGCCAGGTGATTGCCCTACGGCGTTTCCACGTTTGCATGAGCTGCTGCGATTGCTGATGTAGGGCCAGAGCTTAGTTTCTATGCTGTGGGGAGTTGGCTGCTGCCACGAAGAGTATCCTGACTGCTCTCATGCACAAAGCTCGAGCTCTTTCTGAAAGAGAAGCGAGGGTTGCCGAGAACAGGTCAAGGAAGTTTCCGCACCCTGCCCTGGTTGCCCAAACAGCGGTTCTAGAGTCGCCTCCATTTTGCCGACACTATGACGACCTCTAAGCAAGGTGCCCGTAATTGTTCGGGAAACCCCGCAACCTTGGTTTTTGGATGTTGCGAGCTCTATGCTTATGCCTGGAGGGCTACCGCCCCTGCCTATTGAGGTTTTTAGAGGCATGGGTACTTGATGGACGGCTCCTCATAAGGAGGGTTCTTGTACTTATAAAGATCTGCCATGAGCACAGGTTCCTTGACTCACGCGACAATGTTGAGCAGAATTTCCTGTGTTTGATGAGTGGCATGTTGACCTGGCAGGAGGAGAAGTTTCAGCGCGTATTGAGGCTGGTGGAGGGACGACAGAGGAAGATGACCGACTTGTAAGCCGTCCTCTGTTGACATGTCCGTCCTGGCGCAGACTCAACTTGCAGACATTGTACGGGACGGTCGCAGCTCTCGTGCCTGCTGCCAGGGAGCTGAATTCGACCTCAAAGACCTTTGCAGGGCAGGCGTGGCTGGCAACGCTCGCTCAGTGTGTTCACTTCGGACTGAAGGCTCTGCAGTACTGTCTGGTGCTTAGTAGTGAATGGGGGAATGGATCCCTATGATAGCCCCTTAAGGTCCCTTATACTAGTCCCTATAATCCATTCCCCCATTCCCTCCTAAGCACCCTAAACCCTAAACCCTAAACCCTAAACCCTAAACCCTAAATGGCTACAGCCATTTTGGCTCAAGTTTCGGCTCAAAAACTGTGTCTTCGGTGTCTCTCTTTCTTTTATGCCCCCCAACGTCCAGATTAGTTTCGGTACTTGGGGCCCTTCTGAGCTTAGGAAAGCGGAGGCTGATAAATTACCTTGGGGATACATGCCCTCCGATTCAGCTAACCTGGCCGCTGCGCTGCGAACCGACCCTTCTGCTATGCCCACATCCACCGCACTGCCTCCGGTAGGGGGAAAACCTACTGTGGCTAGGCATACTCAAGCTTTGGAATCTGGCAGTCTGAAGTCGACGGAGCAACCTCGAGTTAGGAAATACAGTGTACCGGAAGTACCTGAGCTTAAGAAGCCCAAATTGGAACCGATGGATGATGATGAACGAATGCCACAGGGTGAAACATCAGTAGGAGCACCCGTTGACCCCGGAGATTCCATAGGCAGCGAAGGTGATGCTGATATTCCTCATTCCCCGAACTTTGCCCAGGCCGCAGCTGAGATCCCGCATTTTGATCTAACCAACGACGATGAAGAGACACAAATAGGAAACCCAGATCAAACTCAGGCGGATGATGAGCTTGATCAGAGTCTTGTGGGAGAAGAACAACAGCCAAGGAGTACAACTACCACAGCGCATACGGTAATTAATAATCTCAACATGCAACCAAATTCGAGACAGCAAGGTCAAATTGAGGTTCCCTCGTTGCATGTACCTAATTACTCAAATGCAAGCCCCAGCGCTGTTACGACCCCTATCACTTCTGTTCTACACCCAGCTGCAGGAATCGGTCGTATTGAAGGTAACCCTGCACTTACTAATGTTCTCAACCCTAATTTGGCCGAGGCACCCCCGTGGTTACAGGACATCATGGCAAATTTTCAGGGTCTTCATGCCAAAGCTGATATGCAACATCAGAACATCCTGACCTTTACCGCAGAGGTTAAATCACAAGGGGTTAGGGTTTCCTCTTTGGAGAGTATTGCCAGTGAACACACGATAAAGCATGAACAAGCAGATGAAAGGATTCGAAAACTGGAGTCACAGATCCAGGAGTTATCGGCTAAACTAAATGAAGCGGGCGACCTTGACAATGGACGATCACGATCCCCGGTCAGGACTGGACTTGGAACCCGTAGTGCCTCCCCGAGATCCCCCCGACTTTCTCGCAGAGACAAGGATGTTGTAAGTGGTCCCCAAGGAGATGTAGATGATTTAGATGTTGTCATAGGAGGTTGGGCTGATGCCAAGAAGGCCGATGCTATTGCCGAAACCAAAAACATCTTTGGGATCCTGAAACAAGACTCCCTTCCAGCTGACATTTGGTCCCCTTTTACCAGAACTAGCTTTGTCAAGGTTAAGTTGAACTATCCTGACCCCAACGCTCACATTTCAGTAAAGCGCCAGATTCAAACGAAGCTGGTACAGAAGTTCAAATCTATGAACTTCAAGTCAGGCATAGCAGGGTCAGAAGGTGGACAACTTTGGTGCACCAAATCCAAGACCCCTGGGGAAAGGGCAAAAATCCGAGCCATAGTCCTTGCGAAGACTTTCTATCAAACCCTCAAACCCAAAGGCTCCCAGAACAATATCCCTGCAGACGCACTTGAAATCTCATGGAATGGCAAGCTGTACTTCGAGCAATTTCAGTTGTTGGGGTCAGTCGACAGGGACGGAGAGGCCAAGTCTTGGGATGTTTACATTGAAGACAGTAAAGGCAACCACATGGATTGGTATATCAAATCGGATATCTTTTCGCTGATTACGGGTCAGAGGGCTGAGGAACTTCAGGAGTTGTGGCTAAATTCGGGGCCCACTTCACCTGGGGCTCGGGCTTCAAGTTGACTACACGCGACACCAATTGATGGAGGGGCACAACTGTTTCACGGAATTGGATGGAATCTTCAGGGAAAAAATCTTGAGGATTTCAGAACTGCTTGGCCTACTTTAGGTATGGAAGGTGCGGATGCAATTGGTGTACAGGAATTAGGAGGTTTTTCGGATCTTGCACTACCCTGGAAGATTGTAGATTGTGATTTGCAGGAGGGTTGGTCTTTCTATGTCACAAATCCTCCCTTGGCTTTTCGAGCAGTTGCAGTAGGTCTTCCGGGATTTTTGGTACCACACGTCAATCATGTGCGCCCTCTGTCTTGTGGTATCTGTGTTACATTGAAATTAGATGGCTGCAAACAATTCGTAATTAGCGCACATCTTCCGCATCGGCAGCGACAGGACTGTATTGAAGTATGGCAAACCTTTGCAAGCGAATTAGATCAGATTCTAGTTCACAGAAGATGCAGTGACACAGTTCTCATTATGATAGACGCGAATTATGAGATTGGGCACCCAGAGAGAATGATGGATCCCAACACCTCAGATGCTAGGGGCCCTTTGATACATAGTATCCTTCAGAGTCATGGACTTGTGTCCACTTCTCCTGATATGTATACCTGGTCCAACAAGCGGGGATCCAGCTCAAAAATTGATTTCCTGTGGTTGGGGTCGACTTGTCCTACCTTTAGGTCACAACAAGTCTTTCAGGATTCAGACGTTTTGCTTGGGTCAGATCACAGAGCAATCTCTGCCTCCTTCTCGGTCTGGGGTATGCAACGGAAGACACTGCGGAAACGTCGAAGACAGTTTTCTAGGTGTGGCAGATGGAAAGTTGATTCCCTCAAGCTCGTGACACAAGCAACCAGTCTTGCGGAGGAGCTGGACTTAACGACAGGTGATCTCGATGAAGCCAAGCTAGCTTCCTTAGCGCAAGCTTGCTCCTTTAGGCCTAAATCTCTGAGATATGTCGACCCACAGCACATTCGCGATAAGATCCAACAACGTAGATTGCTTCAAGGCCGCCCGGCTCGGGATCTTGGGAAAGAAATTACTGCCTTGAGAAGGCAAGCTAAAAACGCATGGCTCCTTGAACTTTTGGATCGCGCCTCTAAAGGAGATTTTCATGCAATCTCTTATTTCAAGCGTCGTCAGTCTATTGCCACTACTCACTCTAACTATGTTGTAAGGGCAGGAGGCAAGCAAAAAGCTGTTGCTGATCTCAGACAGCATTTTCTGTTGAAATATACCCCACCTGAACCAGTCCAAGACGATTTACCTCTTCGTATCTTACATCGTTCGGGTGATCCCCTTCGTGCCCCTGACCTAATTTCGTGTCAGGAAGTCATTGACGTTCTTAACACATGTAAGTCAGGTAAATCCTGTGGGGACGACGGTATCTCTTATGAGTTTCTCTCTGCCCTTTTGTCCTCGGACTTAGCTCCTCACTTTGTCGATTTTTATAATTCGATCCTTTTTGGTACCTCCCCTATTCCTGATTCCTGGCTTGTTTCCCGCCTTACCTTTTTGCCTAAGATCCCTGTTCCTTCTCTTCCGAAACATCTCCGCCCCATTGTGCTCTCTTCTACCCCCGGTAAAGTTTTCACAAAAATTCTCCTTTGTCGCCTTCGTCCGTTTTTCCCCTCTCCGATTGCCAATCAACTTGCATGTATCAAAGGCAGTCAGACCCTTGACGGGTCTGCTTGCCTTCAGCATATTGTCCGGTTAAGCCAAGAATATAAACTCCCTTTGATTGCTGTGAAACTGGACGTTGCGTCTGCGTTTGACAACCTCTCTCATTCCTCGGTTGCTTCCTTTTTATCCCAGTGTGGCCCAAGACTTGAAGCTCATGTTTTGTTAAAAATTATTGTTCTTTCTCGTGTTATTATTAGTATCTCCGATGTCTCGTGGGAACAAAAGCTACTGCGTGGAATCCTCCAAGGATCGTCTTATTCGGCAGAAGTTTTTGCACGGACGGTGGATTTTTTCCTCGGCAATCTAGTGGCCCACTGGGATAAAACCGAACCTACTTGGGTACAATCTACGGACCCTAACGGCACTTTTCGTAGTCTTTATAATCTCCTTTTCGCAGATGATATTATTCTTTTGGCAACTTCTTATGCCCAGGCTGCTCGCATGTTAGACGATACTCTGTCTACTTTAGCTGCAATCGGTCTCTCTCTTGCCCTTGACAAGTGTAAATTCATTGTATCTCCTGATCTTGGTCATCACCCTTTTGTTGTAAAGGGCATTTCAGTTCCCAGGGTTCCTTCCTTCACTTTTCTTGGAGTACTGATTGGTTTCGGCATTTCCTGTCCTGCTGTGCTGAGCGCCAGACTTTGTATGGCACAAAATTCATTCTGGTCTTACTATCGTATTCTAAAGCGCCCCGCAGGTTTGCTTAAAACACGAATTTATCTTTTGGACACCTTCGTGACCTCCAAGTGGAGATGGTTATCCCCGTGCGTGCGCCCCGTCACCGAGATTCATAATATGTTGAAAGTCCTCCAAACCTCCCTCTTAACTTCGATTTGTGGGCTCTCATCGGACCCTTTTGTAACGCAGGCAGCAAATTGGGTTACGCGTAGAAGAGCGAGTAGAATGATTGCCCAAATTGTGGGTCATAAAAATTGGCCAGGAGTCCAAGCCTTTGCGTTTTTTAACTACTGGGGCCATGCAGCCCGTATTTGGACTTACCGTTTTTCTCCGATTACTATCGCGCTCCACATTAGGGACGGTTATTGGCTTGATGCTTTTGAAGGCTCGATCCGTAGGTGTTTGGGCTACTGGCCAAACTCCTATAGGTTTATTCAATTGGCCTACGACCGTTTTCGGATTCCCTCTGAGACACCATACTGGCACGAAAAAGCCCTTGTCAAGGACGAGTGGAAAAGTTTTGTTTCTGAATGGCTTAAGTTCAAAAACCTTCAACCTCTTGTTTACTATTCGGATCTTACTTCCGTTGATCTATCAGGAAGATGTCTCTTGCAAGTCGGGGACAAATTTACTCTTTTGCCGTTTCGTCATGTGCCCGTCGAGACACCTTATAACACTGCGTATGAACTTATCCCTGAACCTCAAGCTGAACAAGATTGTGCCTGCTTTCAAGTGTGTTCGGATGGCGGATCCAAAAGTAACCAAGGAACCATGGCGGTAACAATTTTAGCTCCCTATGCCACTCTGGAACAAGCAGTCATCTTCCAAGCCAAGATCCAAGAACCCTGTTCCAACAATCGTGCAGAGCTTTTAGCCGCTGTTGAAGCCATGAAGCATATCCGGCTCATTCTCCATAATTTCCCTACAATTCCTTTTGTGTACATGACTGACAGTATGCTGGTCATTCAGGTCATAGAAGAACTTTCTTCTATCACGTGTCATCCACACATTGTCCATGAATTATTGTATCTTTGGAAGCAACTTTGCAGGTATGGCAAGGCAGTTCATGTTAAGGGACATTCAGGACATGCCCTGAACACACTCACTGACAAGGCTGCCACAGAGGCTTTTGGGTTTCGACATTATAGGAGACTTCATCGCACTGTTAACTACAGCAGGGTTTATCTCACACACATGGGACAAGAGCTGCCGTCTTTTCCGAAGTGGTTGTAGACTTTTGAAGAACGCTATGTCCAGTGCACACCATGTCGTTGACATCTTCTCTTTCGCAGTATTTGCTGCTGTGTGCTGTAACAGAAGGGGGGGGGCAGGACGCCGCATCATTGTCGAAAGACACTTTGTACTCACCGTAGCCTTGATTTTGCGACTGCGCTCGAGTGTGTGCTACTTCCCCACTCCCACTGGGCCATGGCATTGACCTCTTTGACCTTTCAGGAAGCTCTCACCTGCAGCTACGAATGGATGGTCAACTATGCTGACTTCCTTATTTTTGTGGTTCTGATGCTCGCCTTTGTGCTGCATCTTCAGAAACTGCAGAAACGGATTCTTCTCAGTGTGCACTCTTTGCAGAACCGAGTTGATGACTTGGAGCAGCTTATGAGTGCAGGCATGGATCGGCTGAGCGACAGGATGACCGCTATGCGCGACCCTTCTGCACAGTCCCAAGGGGCGGAGGGCCATGACTGGCAAACCCTTGAGACCCGCCTCATGGTGTACTTGGATGACTCACCGACTTGGTACCAGAATCTCAAGGACGAGGTTTCGGTGGCAAAGAATCATCTTCTGAGCATAAAGTCGTCGCTTAGTACA